TGATATTAGAGGAATAATAAAAATATTTCTGTAAACAATAAACAAAAGAAAAACAATGAAAAAGTAATTAAAGAAAACAATAAAATTAATAAGTAAATATTTTCATTTAAATTTACTTCACTTCCTTTTTTACATCAAGAAAAACTTTTTTTTAGCTTTTGGCTCATCTGTCACCTATTGTTTATTAAAATTCAATGTATAAAAATATTTTTTAGATGCCACGCATTTGTCATTTATTGTTTACTAATTTCATTTATTGTTTACTAATTTATTGTAGAAAAATATTTTTTTAGTTTCTATGCATCTGTCATCTGTTTTTCGTTAATTCATTGTACAGAAATATTTATTAGATACCGCGCATTTGTCACTTATTGTTTACTAATTCATTGTGCAAAAATATTTTTAGCTTTTGCGCATTTCTCACCTATTGTTTACTAATTCGTTGTGCAAAAATATTTTTTGGATACTGCGCATTTGTCACTTATTGCTTACTAATTTCATTTATTGTTTACTAATTCATTGTAGAGAAATATTTTTTTAGCATCTATGCATCTGTCACCTGTTGTTTACCAATTCAATGTACAAAAATATTTTTTAGCTTTTGCGCATTTGTCACTTATTGTTTACTAAATCATTCTATTTCATAGGCTTTTTTTACAAGGGTATATTTTATAATTTATAATTCATAATTTCTTTTTGTTTTTTAAGTATATAATTTTGAAATGTTGAATGAATACAGCACTTATCAATTATCGATTATGTGATAATTAAAATTGATTAACTTTGAATGATAATAATATTTTTGATATTTTTTACTGAGTGAAAAAGTAATCTCCGCTACTCTCAAATTATGATAATCAATTTGTAAGCTTAATAGAAATACACGAAGAGCTGTAAATAAAAAGAATATTTATTTTAGAAATTTTAATTTTTATCAAATTAATTTTTTAATAAAACAATATCATAAATCAATAATGAAATGATTATATTAGCATTTAAAATGTGTGAAATTTGTAAACAAAACAATTTCTTCGTTTGCTAATTAATTCGTTGTTAGCAATAACAAATAAACAAGTTCATTTAATTTTGAAAATATTTAAATTTTTTTGCTAATAAAATGAATGATTTTAATTATTTCAATTTTTAATCCAATTTTAATTTTAATTTAAATTTGCTAATTAAATTAAATATAATAAAATTTTAAAATTTTGATAAATTAATAAAGTTTGATAAATCTTTTGGTAAATTGATAAAGTTTGACAAAGAGTTTGATAATTTGAAAATTTTATCAAAATATATAAAAATTCTATACCACAAAATAAATGTTTAGAAAGAAGAAATAAGTATATCTAAACAATATTGAGAGAGTAAATTCTTTTCAAAATGTTTTTTTTAAGGTTTTGAAACAATCAAAGATAGTTGTTGACAGCAAGAATTGGAGAAGTAAATGATTGAAATCTAATTAAATGAAAGACAAAAGTGAAATGTAATGTAAATAATATGAGAGAGTAAAATTGTATTTAATAATAATAATCTCAATTAAATTTCAAATCTTAATTTTTTAAAGATTTTTGAAACAATCAAAGATGGTTGTTGACAGCAAGAGATGGAGAAGTAAATAATTGAAATCTAATTAAATGAAAGACAAAAGTGAAATGTAAAGTTGATCGGAATGAATTATGCAAAGAATTATTTTATCAAATGTTTATCAAAGTATTTGCAATCTTAAATTTTACAAATTTATTGAAAACTTTTGATTAGATATTTTTTCAAATAAACGTAAAATTTACGCTAATTAAATTAAATAAATTAGTTTTAAAAGATAATTTCATTTCTTTGTTTGCTTTTTGAAAACTTAAATTAGAATATGTATCGTTGCAAACCGGTGATTAAATTAAAATGGATCGTTGCAATCCGGTGATTAGTGATATGATCTGAAATTTTAGAATAAATAAGCTGTTTTTGCAACTTACCATCACTACATGCCGAAATGTTGATAAAACTAAATTCTCGTAGGAAATAAAAAACTTAAATTAGAATATGTATCGTTGCAATCCGGTGATTAGTGATAGTGATATGAAATTTTAAAGTAAAACAAGCTGATATTTTTGCAACTTATCAAAATGTTGATAAAACTAAATTCTTGTAGGAAATATTTTCAGTTAAATTATTTTTAAATTTTAGATGCAAACGTTTTTATTCAAATTATCAAAAATTGAAATGCTCCAAAGCATTGGAAAAGAACGGTTTTTAATAATTTTTAATTTAAACAATTTTTAATACAAAAATTACAAGCACTTATTATAATTTCAATTGTTTTTTAATTTAACAAAAAGAATATTTCACTCATAGATAAAGGGAACTAAATACATTATAATCCATAAACATTCTATTGAAGAATATAAATTGATATTACATGAAAATTTTCAACAATTTTTCAACAATACAATTTGTTGATGATACAAATATATCCTCATTTCATTCAATAGCATTTATCTTTATGTCTGATAATGAAAGGTATTCATTTTATCCATTTATCATTTATACTTTAAATTATTTAGGGATTTAAAATTTGTAATTATTACAACTTACAAATAGATATATTAGATGGAAATAATAATCTGGAAAATGAATGGAATTGTTAAAATTGTTATCAATTGCATCTATGATATCATAGCTATTTCAATTATCAAATATTTTTTTACATTTCATGACAGCCAATTGTTAAAATGAAATTATTATTAAACATAAATAATGTGTAATGTTAAAATATCAAAAATAAAATAATAGATAATTAATAAGATAATGAGAAAGAAATTTTGTTTTGATAATAAATTTGTCTTTTTTTTTGGTGAATCTTTTTTGCCGGCCCCTTGTAAGAAAACATAAATGAAGCATAAATTTGAGTAATAAACAAAAATAATAATAAAATAAACAAAAATTATAGTATAATAAACAAAAAATAATAATAAAACATACAAAAATAATAATAAAATAAACAAAAATAATAAAAAAAAAAACAAAAATAATAAAAAAATGAACAAAAATAATAATAAAATAAACAAAAACAATAATAAAATAAACAAAAATGATAATAAAATAATGAAAAACAATAATAAAATAAACAAAAATGATAATAAAATGAACAAAAATAATAATAAAATAAACAAAAATAATAAAACAAACAAAAATAATAATGAAATAAACAAAAATGATAATAAAATAATGAAAAACAATAATAAAATAAACAAAAATAATAAAACAAACAAAAATATTAATGAAATAAACAAAAACAATGATAAAACATACAAAAATAATAATAAAATAAACAAAAATAATAATAAAATTCATTTATTTATAAATATTCTGTTTATCTTGTATTTGTAAATATTCTATTTGTAAATTATTCTTTTTGAGCTTTTTCATTATTTTACACATTTCTAATATTTCAATAGTGAATGAATGAAAATTTTAATAATTAAACAAATATGAAATTTCTTTCCCATTCTTCTCAATCATTAAAAAGAGAATGAGTAAAAGTGATTCTAAAAAATTTTTCAAAACAAAATTATCTATTCGAGCATGCAATATAAATTGATAAATATAATTGAATCATAGAAATAGAAATTTATGATATGATCAATTATGCTTGGAATTGTTTTAATTTTACTAAGATTTCTCCTACAATAAATATATCACTTTGATATTAGAATTTCTTTTTAGATGTTTTAGGTGAAATTTTAGGTGAAAAATTTTAGATGAAATTAGAATTTCTTTTTAGGTGTTTTAGGTGAAATCACTTTTTTTTGCACGATTTAGCCGTACCTTTCTATTGCAATTAGCAATAATTACAAAGTGTATTAATTATCTTTTCTTTTTTTAAAATATATTTCTTATTTGAAAGATATGAAAATGTTTTTGTTGAAATGAAAAGAAATGAAGCGTAGGAAAATAAATTCTTAGTGTTTTAACATATTTTTGAATATTTTTGAATATCACAATTATCAGATTATTACATGAAAAGGCTAAGTGATAAACAATATGGGATATAAAGTTAGCTTACTATTAAAATGATAAAATGGTTGACAATTCTGTGTTTTTGTACTTGTCTCGATTTTTTGTTCAAATTGATTTCAGTTTTGCAGTAAGTCATTTGTATTGCTATATAGAGTATTTAAGCATTTAGGTATTTATCTTAAGGTTAGTAAAATTAGTTGTTCAAGAAAATCGAATCCCATAAAAGAACTCGTATGTTGGAATATCTCAATTCCTAAATAGAATGTTCGTGTGGAATGAAAGTTGCACTATGCCCCCTTGTACAAACGAAGTTTCCCGTTTTCAGTTCTCCCAAAATTTTGGAAAGATTGTTCGGCATGGGATGTTGAGCGATGGTTTTGGGATGATGCTCCTCTCATTTAGGATTGTTTGTGTGGTAACTGGCATATTTTAGGAACTGAGCTAATCAATTAGAGTTTAAGTACTGAAGTGATTATCCAAAGATTACGCCTTATGTGGCCTCACTCTTTCTTTTTCTCATTCTTATTCCAAGAGCGTGATTGTCATGATTAGTATGACAGTATCCGAGTCATTTCTTGACATTTACAGTTTTCAGTTGAAAATTCTAACAGTGAACTGTGTGATAAGTGAGTGATGCATATAGCGCTACATGTGCACTAAGATATTCCATGTTTGTTGTAGAATTTCCGGAATAAGCCACATCACAATGAAATCTCATCTGGATGAAGTATCAAAACGATGTAGATATGACTGTAGTTAATGATATCCTGACATCCATTTTAATATATAACAATAATCCACAACGGATAGCTATCAGTAATTTACATGACAAGGATAAGATTAAACTAGTTGATCCACTGGTTATTACCCAACTATTGACGTGTCATTTTCCGCATTCTTCGTTAGACTGTAGATTTTGAATCGATAAATTTTTAGTTAGTGAGTAAGGTACTAATTTGCTTGACATCGAACAAACCTAAACAATGTCTGGACCATCTGATTCCGGTGAGGATGCGGCGGATCATAACGTTGAAGTGTGGAAAATCAAACGTTTGATAAAAAGTTTGGAAATGGCTCGAGGGTTAGTGATCGATTCAATTTCTGATGCATAAAGTAAATTAAAGACAGAAGCTATGTAAGAAATGATTCAAAATAAAATAATAGAAATATTCAGGAATGGGACGTCGATGATCTCGTTAATAATACCACCACGAGATCAAATTGCGCGCATTTCGAAAATGTTAGCTGATGAATATGGCACTGCGTCAAATATCAAATCTCGAGTGAACCGGTTGTCTGTATTAGGCGCCATAACATCGGTACAAGGAAGGCTGAAACTTTATAACAAAGGCTAGTATATTTCTTGAAATATAGATAAGGTAATCAGATATTTATTGTGTAAATATCAAACAAAGCATTAACGTACGACATCGTGCAGTCAAGATTGACAGTTGTGAAATAGTAAAGTAGCTTTCCGAATAATAGTAATTGTTTTAGTACCAACAAATGGTTTAGTGATTTACTGTGGCACAATTGTAACGGATGAAGGGAAGGAGAAGAAAGTGAACATTGATTTCGAACCGTTCAAACCAATAAACACTTCACTTTATCTATGTGATAACAAATTCCATACAGAAGCATTACAAGGTATTTATAAATGTTATTTGATTAATTTATTTGAACATAAAACATTACACGGCGAGAAGAATTAAACTTGTTGCCACATACATGCAATTATATGTGAGCAGGTATTATGAGATTATGCATAACTCTTTGTTTTTGCATTTAAGAAATATTCTCTATGCTTTCTAGCCCTATTGGCTGATGATAATAAATTTGGATTCATTATAATGGATGGTAATGGTTCATTGTTTGGGACATTGCAAGGTAATACGCGTGAAGTGTTGCACAAATTCACAGTTGATTTACCGAAAAAGCATGGTAATTTTTGATTTCATTTTCGCTTTTTTGCAACAATTAATTACTAATTTCTCTTTGATTAATTTAAGGCGTTGTCGGGGATGGTAATATGTATGATAATTTATCATATTGAATTATTGCACCTTTTCAGGTCGTGGTGGACAATCTGCGCTGCGTTTCGCACGGCTTCGTATGGAGAAACGTCACAATTATGTGAGGAAGGTTGCGGAAACAGCTGTTGAAATATTTATCCGAAATGATAAAGTGAATGTAGCAGGACTAATTCTGGCTGGTAGCGCAGATTTCAAAACGGAGCTTGGCCAATCCGATATGTTTGATCAAGTGAGGAATGATTTTTATCCGTTTAATGAAACGCATCCTTTTTAACGATTAATCTTAATTTTTTGTTGTTTATAGCGGCTTCAAGCTAAAATTATAAAAACAGTGGATATTTCATACGGTGGCGAGAATGGATTTAATCAGGCAATTGAATTGGCCGAAGATGCATTGGCTAATGTGAAATTCATCCAAGAGAAGAAGTTAATTAATGGATATTTTGATGAGATTTCGCAGGTACTTGAAATTCATCGACTGTTGCTTTCTAATTATTATTTTATCAATTGTTAGCGTTGCTTCATTGGTAATATTGCGTAGTGCGATTTAAGGATAGCTCTCAAAGTGTTTAGGAATGTAAACTTTTATTCTCTATCTTTATTAGAATTTTTCCTGTTGTAAAAGAAATAATTTCTCTTTACTATTTTTGGAAGTTAGTAATTGGGCTGTGTATCAAATTCTGCACATCCTAAAGTCAAACTTCCGAAATTAAAGTGCATTTCGTCTGCGGGTTTAACATCAGTTACAGTTGAAGCCTGTTCGTTATTGCACTACAGTTAATTTGTTATATTCCATATGAAATCAGCAAATATGTCTATATGTTAAAGGATTCTGGAAAATATGTTTATGGTG